GTACAAGAGCAAACAGTAAACGATCCTGTCTTACCTTTGCCCACCAGCTAGAAAGGACAAAGTAAGTGTTAACATTCTCCTCTCCAAACTGCTCTGCCACATATAGGCCTAGAGAGCCATATTTATCGTAAATGTTACGCTTCGTGGGGTCATTCAGGATGGCGTGGGCGTTGTTTATCTCCTTGAACTTATCTGCGGCCTCTGGATTGTCGGGATTCTTGTCAGGGTGGAACTTTAACGCCAGTTTCCTGCAGAATGCATCACAGTCAGCTTTACAGGTTATCAGACCTTTCTGTGAGCTAAGCCAGGTGACCAGAGTAAAGCCTCACCTGTAAGATCTCTTTATATCGTCCGTCGTGGCCATCTTCTCAACTCCCAACACATGGTAGAGAGACTCACCCGCAGTGGACAGAGAGCGCTGCCTCTGCTGCTCACTCATGATGCCTCACGTCCACAGGCTGCACACAGAAATGCACAAAATTAAGAGGCACTGCTTGGACTGTTTTACCAGGATGTACATTCATTCAACTAAAGTGAGGCCCTTGTGATTCCATGCTCTCTGCTGCAGGCAGGCAACAGCTGGTCCTGTGCTGTCTGGATGAAATACAGATGTCCAGTACTTACTAGAAACACCCAGCTGTGTGGGAAATATATGGAAAAAAAAGTCCTGGAAAGGGGGAAAAATAGTGAATTTTTCTCCTTTTTTTATTTTAATGATATAAATTTTAGATTTTCAGCAGGAGATAAATTCTCCTTATTGATTTTTGAAGGTGTGACATCTTGGCAGGACCCCTGATGCATATGCTGCTTTAAGTAAATCAGCAGCTGACACCCATAGAGACAACCCACTGCAACAGCACAGGCTTCATCAGGTGAAGACCAGAAAACACACTCTTTAAAGAAGACAGAAGCCTCCAAATGGGTGTCATCTCGACACAAATCAACATCTACTACGCTGTTTGAAGCCCTATAATGCCTAATTTCTTAAATTTTCATCAAAAACTACATGTTCAGTCAAACGGCTGTCAAATTTCCACTCGTCACGAATCGCATCCCGCTCCAAAAGATGTCTATAGGAAGGATTAGACTCTGGGTACGATGCTGAGAGCATAATCTCCGTGCAAGCATCAGCAGCACTGCTATAGCGCACAGCATCCATGTTGGTTCGCTTCCCCGGCCTGCTCTTGATGCAAGACAGGAATGGATCGTCAGCAGTTATTTTCAAGGACAAGGACCAGAGTGTCGAGGAAGAAAGGAAATAATGGAAATGCAGGAGGAGGCTCACCTTTCAGTAGGCTCTAATGCGCTGCGAAGCTAACGATCCCAGCAGGTTATGATTTTAGACAGTGCAGCGTGACTATGGCCGCATCTCCTCGCACGTACCCGGACCTTCTCTGGCTCCCACTACACAACCATGGACAGTGCAGCAGTCCGCTGGCTCCACCACCCTACGACGACCCGACGTGCGCGTGCACGACGGGGAGGATGCTAGAGGAAAGATGTGCAGCTCCGCATTTGTCGTGAAAGCTAAAAAGGGAGTTCCTTTAAAAAATATTACATTTAATTTACCCACTGGAAGTTGTATAAGAAAGATTTAAAATGGATACTGAGTTCTATGGAGGGCCAGGAGTGACTAAATGGATTAATTAAATACACCATCAAATAATTAGTTAAATGTGTAATTAAATTAAATTGGAATTAATTAATTAAATAAATATTTAATTTATTAATTATTGACACATTTAATTAATTATTTACCGATGTATTTAATTAATTCATTTTCGCAGTCCTGACCCCTGGCTGTTCATGAATTAGTTTTATCTTTCAGGGTGGCCCTCTGTATTTATATATATGTGTGTGTGTGTATATATATATAATATTCTGTAACTCTGTAACTTCTGTCGGTGCTGTGCTTTTTTGGAAATCGAATTTCCCAGAGGAACCCACCCGAGGGATTAATAAAGTTCTATCTTATCTTATCTTATCTTATCTTAAACTCAGGGGGCGGGGTTATCGCTGATCGAGTCAAAACTTTGGCCTGGTGGCCCCGTTTCTGCACACCAGCAACCCTGGCATGTAGAAACTAACTGAACTGTACTGAAAAAAACTGTTTGTGTGTCAGCAAACACGCTTTTAATATTTTTTTTTTAGCCGAGAATGTAGTGGTTTATTTTTTCAGATATCTGGTCGGATTGTCAAGATACAGCCTCTTTGCAAAATTGCTTTGATGATTTCGGATTGGGTGAATGAATGAATGAATGAATGAATGTGATTGGTTGAACAGGTGTTCGTCATCTGTGTTCTGTGTTATCTGCATTTCCATCAGAGTAGGAGACTCAGCAGCAGATTAGAATCAAGTATAATAAAATTTTTACATTTAAGAAATCACCAAATTAATCATTTGGTGATTTTGTGAATAATCAATAACCAAATTGACAATGCAACACACTGTTTGTGCAGAGATTTACAGCACAATGCTCACTTACAACACATTCCTCCATCATTCCCCCTTTTAAACACTTAAAACATGCAGCAAATAAAAGACTGAGTGAAAATGTGGCACTTCCTGCTGATTTTAAAAATCAAACCAGTTTAAGTTTGCATTCTCTCAGCTGCAGACTAGCTGCTGTTTAAATGTTTGAGAGTTAAGATTGGATATAAAACAAACGTCAAACATAAACTCAGTCTACATACACACTTGATATGAGGTCAGCAATTACAGTGTCTGTGTCCTGTTTTAAGATCATATATGTAAAATTGTTGTTTAAATTATAGTTTCGGAGTATCATACATAATGCCCACGTGAGGTGTGTGACTGTACACCACTATACAGAAATAAATCAGCTATTACTGAAATACACCTGCTATATAATAAACTATGATAAACATGTGAAGGTGTGATTAACATGTTTAGTTATAAAGGACAGCTTCCTGCCTTTAGTCTCATTCATGAGCAGTATTAGTTCTCTTCTAACATCCAGAAGTCTGCACAATGTATTTCATAGTTTCTAACAAGCCTTTGAGAGTTAAAGGTAACATGACCGAAACACCAACATCAAAAAACAAAACAAAACACCTCACAAATCATATATTAACCTCATTTATTTTTATTTTACAGTTGAATAACTATTAACAAACAGATAATGTAATATTTCTGGACAGACAGGAGTCTTTCAGTATCCGAGGAGGAACCTTCTCGTTCCTCCTTGCATAAATTTTTTTTTTTAAATTCAAAAGTCACGGTTAAAAAAATCCAACACATATGAGCACCAGATGGTTCAGTCTAACATGTGCTCCAGTAAGACATTAAACTTCAGTAAAATTATGCAGTTATGAAACTTAACTGTAATCTGAGCCAAACTGATTTTCTCAGTTGTAAATAAAACAGTGAAGTAAATGTGACCCAACAGACAGAACCTGAGTGAATTAAGTCCAGTGTTTAATCTCTAGTGAGAGCTAAAACTCAGCAGAGGTTTTAAAGCTGTGTGCCGGTGATTGGATATCAGCTGCTCATAAAGTAGGTTCGCCTCTAAAGTGCTGTGCAGTTTTCTAAGTGTCCATCGCTCTCTGTTTAAATCCTGTTTGCCATCTTTAACCCAGGTCAGTCACTCTGAGGGAAACACAAGCTGCAGCAGCCCTGCGCTCAGGAAACAAACTACATTTTCTTAAATGGCTTAGAGAGCCATTTGAGCCTTAAATTAGAGTACTTTTAAATACAGGAACATGTTTAAAAGACAAAAATGAACATCCAACTTTGACTGTAGATATCTTTGACAGGATATCACTATTGGACTGTCTAACATGCCAACTTCCAGAAGGACTGAGACAAGTGACAAAAGAACAGAGCAGCATTCAGTGACCACCACACATGAGCATGTTCCTGCAACATTCAGCATCTGATTCTTGTTCATCTGTGTGCTTCTGCTTTTGGTAAGTATACTTACCTAACTACAGTAACTATAAAGCAGTCACTCTAAACACATGCTGCCATCCAGTTCTAACTACCTGGTTACTTGGTATCAGTTATTTGGTTTGTTTGTTACTCACAAATATCACCAAACTCAGACATTTTGCATTCTGTATGTCTTTTCATCTTTACCAGCCACACTCTAACTGTAATTAAGAGTTTATTAAATATTAAAGGGGTGCAGATAGAGCCAGCTTTTGAATTTCTATGAATTACTATGAACACTTACCATATTCTACCTGCACAATAGCGAGCAGAACTAACACTGGAAAAATACACCATCACATAGTTCATCAAACTCACATAGATAAACCTTATTTATGATATAACAAGGTAACAAGGTGAACAATGAAACAGTAACAGTCTAAAAAAGTGGATTCTAAACTCCAATTCAGTCAATTCTATAATTCAGTAGAACTGCAGACCCCCAAGTCTTCATCATTAAACCTCTAGTTGCTTCATTTTTCTGTTTTATATCAGATACTTTAAAGGTTTTAGTAAAGCTGCATTACCATGGTGAAGCAAAGTGCTTTTGTGTGTGTGTTGTGAATGGCTATGAAAGGCCTTTTCTTAAAGACCAAAGTTGGGTTTGAATTCGAGTTACAGCAGACAGTCGCCACTTTGAAATGGAACGCAGCCCTCCAAAAGCAGACGGCTAACATGAGGAATTGAACGCGCCGTCCACCCTAGCCCACAGCAACCACCATAGCAACCGCCTAGTGTATGACCTTAAAAAACATGTCCTTTCTTCATAACTGTCAAAAATATGAAATAATTTACAAAGAGTGAAAGTGTTACAGCTGCAGAGGGCTTTGGCGGTATCTTTGGAATCTGTTTAATAATATACAATATAATGTAACCATGGAGACAGAGTCAGTCATGTGAACTAGCGTGCATGTTTACTGCAGTGAATGAGGCGATTGTGTGCACAGCGTCCACACACTGCACAGGGTCAAGACATGACTTCAATATTGTTTTATACAAAATAAAGTTGTTTACAAAACATTCTGTGTCTCCCAAATAAGCACAGCTGTTCATGTTTGTCATTACATGTTTATTTGTAAGAAAAATGATGAACTTCACATTGTGCACCTAATCGAAGCACATTTGATAAGTCTGTTTCATTCCTTTGCATCACGAGAGCTGGAGTAAACATATATCCTGACAATTAAAGTTGAGCAAACTTCAGTGAAATCATAAAACAGTAGACACAGGTAGAAATGGGATCAGATTCATCTCTGCATAGTCAAAAGCAGATACCTCCTGTGTTCAGTCCATCATATGAAAAAGGAAACTGTAGCACGGTCCATGTGCTTTTGCATCCATGGCTAAAATGTTCTCAAGCAGCTCAGTCTCAGAAATGTCTCTAAAGTAGACATGTACAGTGTAGTGTAAGCACTGAAAGATCATAGAGGAAACTCTACCATTAATGTCAAACTAATGTTGGAGAAACAAAACACAAAGGCTATGTTTGGTTTTAAGTGAACTGTACATTAAGAGGGCGACAAAGACAACATTTATACAGGAGTGAAAAAAAATTAAGAAATGCAACATATGTGGAGACAAATTCAAAAATGAAAAATGTAACAAACATCTCAGTTACAGTTTGGATTTTGTGTTTCACTTAACATTTGTGTTTATACTCTTGTAAATGTGTTGCTCTCATATAACACTGTGCTTTTTATTTTCAAGGCAAAAGTGAAAGAATTTTTTGGCAAATATGTAAAGCAGTTTACAATGTCATGTGCAGAAATAGTTTTGTAAATAAAAATAATCATGCAGAGCAGCAGCCTATGGGAGGTTGTTTCTGCCACTGAGGAAGTATACATAACCCAAGGTTTTATTTTATGGATGTTGTTTTTCAGTGGCAGAAACAACCTTCCATATAGCATAATAGCTAATTGCATACAAGAGCTTGTATGTTTGATTGAAAGCTGATCTTTATGAAGTGTGAAAGTAATGGTAAAATACAACTTTAAAGCCACTACAAATGAAAGATTCCTCTCTACTTGAGTTTGCAGAATTTAGTGGTTTTCACACCTGAGAAAAGCCAAAATCCAGCATAGAGCGGCTGACTGAACGTAGTGTGGACTCTGTGGAGAAGGGTCATAGTTTCAGATACACTGTAGAAGGACAGGATGCCTGCACTGTGATCCAGGTACACTCCTATTTTGGAGAAGTGAGGACCTGAGGTGGAAGTGTGGCTGTTGTTGTGCCAAAATTCATATGCTTTTTTGTGACAACTCAAAGCCCAACTTTTCTCATTGCGTCCAAATTTACATTCATCCCCCCACCCTGCTCTGCCAATATTTTTGTAGGCGACTGCAATGTGAGATCCTATCCCTATCCACTCCACCTCCCAGTAACACCGTCCAGTCAGACTCTCTCTGCTCAGAACCTGAGACCATGCAGTGAATCGATGTGGATGATTAGAATAAGACTGCTGTTGGTTCATTAATGTTGCCTTTCTGTTCCCCTCTGATAAGAGCAGCCATTTGTTTGCTGTTTTTGGATCCAAGGTGACTGCACGTGAATAGTTTAAGAATCCAGCTCTGGTCGTTGGCTCTGGTTTTGGAACTGACAGTAAAACATCCACTTGAGTGACTATGAGTGAGAAGTTTGACCATGTCTCACTCAGGATATCCTGTAGCTTCTCTCTGGTTTCTGACACAGCTGCTTTCACATCCTCAAAGTACCTCAGAGGACGGATATTGATGCTGGATGAGTCTGTAGGCTGTCTGAGTGGTGACAGTAAAGGATGGTTGTGCAGAAACAGATTGTGATCCTCTGTGTCTATGAGCTGCTTCAGCTCAGCATCTTTCTTCTTCAACTCAGCGATCTCCTGCTCCAGCTTCTCCTGAAGCTCTTTGACTCGACTCACTTCAGTTTCTTGCTGGGATCTGATCTGCCGCTTTACATCAGAGCTTCTTTTCTGGATGAGACGAATCAGCTCAGTGAACATCTTCTCACTGTCCTCTACCGCTTTATCGGCGGAGAAACTCATTGCCCTGACCTCCAGCTCAAGCACATTCACTTCTTTCTCTCGGTGCTGGATTCTTTGCTGGATTTGCAGTCGACTCACCTCGAGCGCTCTTTGCCTCTCAGACCTTTCTGCTACAGCTGAAACCGTTTCATGGCCTTTATGTTCATCTAAAGAGCAGACATAACAGATACTCTGCTGATCAGTACGGCAGAAAATTTTCATCACCTCACTGTGAAGAGAGCAGATGTTCTCCTGGAGCCTCTTGAAGGGGTCTGCCAGTTTGTGTTTCTTTAAAAGAGCCACATCATAATGAGGCTGAAGGTGCTGCTCACAGTAAGAGACCAGGCACACCAAACAGGACTTCACAGCTTTTAGTTTTCTTCCTGTGCAGAGATCGCATGCTACGTCTTCAGGACCAGCACAGCCCTGATAAACAGAAGCAGCTTGGAGTGCGGTCTTCTTCAGCTCCTCCACTAACTCTGCTAACATTGTGCTTTTCACCAGGAGAGGTCTCGGTGTGAAGGCCTGCCTACACTGAGGGCAGCTGCAGATTCTCTTCTTCTCTTCATCCCAGTGGGTTTTAATGCAGTCCATGCAGTAGCTGTGTCCACAGGGAATTGTGACCGGATCCTTTAGTATATCCAAACAGATTGAACAAGAGAAGCTTTCTGGGTGCAGCTGAACTCCTTTCTGTGCCATTTTACCTCTCAGCATCTGTGCCTGTGTGAGTTTCGTTTCCTGAGAACTTAAACTGCTCTGACCACTGAATGTAAGAATCGTGTTTGCGCAATACACGTCACCACATTTTGGTTACGCCCATCTCTAAAGTGCAGGTCCAAAGGGGAGGGAACACACAAATGTTTAGACAGAGAGGAGCTCCGGTATTTAAAGAAGAAGTGTTAGAAGCTGTTTTTCATTCCAAGAAGAGGAACAGTACTCTGTGTTTAGGCTGTACTCAGTTAAATGTCATATATAGTCAAGTAAAGACAGCTATAACATTTAAAACAACAGCAATTGACCCAAAGTCAGATACAGACACATGAAATAAACTGCATTTCCCATACCAGTCACACAGAACGGGACACACAGAACACATATTCTTTTTTAAATTTTTGTTCCTATAGTTTCTTGTCATAACAGAATTTTATTATATTAATACATATTAGTATTTTAATAAATATTAATAAAGTCCACAATTTACTAGCAGTTTACTATTGCTAAATTCTCAGTTGATTAAAAATGAGGGGCTTGATTTCACAAGTTAATATTTTTATATTATGACATGTATCTGTCCATCTTTTCTTTATTTTTGCCTGTATTGTTCCTCTAAATGTTTGTATAATTTCAAACTGAACCTATGGGCGCATTAAATAAGAAAATTCTGTCCGACTTTTAATTTAATCAGTAGTTCCGGTTGGTTCTTCCACTAGTAATGTGTCGGTCGCGAACGAAATGGCTCTTAGAGCCGACACTTTGAAGTGAACGATGCGATCCAACTCCTTATTGGGAGCTGTGTTTTTTCTTTCTTTCTCTCACCCTCTCTCTCTCTCGCACTTTTTTTCCGCTTCGCTCCTCGCGAGCGCTGAGCAGAGGGGGGAGGGGCGGTAGTTATACTTGCAGTAGCACAGGAACAGTGTGGAGGGAAAGAGAGAGAAAGAGAGCCAAGGACAACAACATCATATTAGAAAGGTAGAGTAATCATCCACAACAATTTTTAGTTCAGGAAGTTTATTCATGCAGGCCTATATGACAGATCTTTCTTTTTGCATCTTCTTTTTGTTTTGTATATTTTAATTTATATTTAATTATGTTGTGGTTTTCAGTGTTTTGTGTTGTTTCACTTTAAATTTATTTAAAAGGATAAGCTGAAAATTTTAATAGTTAAATTTAATTTAACAGTTAAAAGTTGAAATATAAATAGTTGTATGTAAATTGTTGTTTTTTGCATTATATGATTTATTTACTACATTTTATGTGGAGTGAATAAATACAAGTATATTTACGGTGGCCCATAGAGACAAAGCATGTACAAACTCCAAAACACATACAAACTCCAAAGCATGTACAAACTGCAAAACACGTACAAACTCAGAAGCACGTACAAACTCTGAAGAATGTTGTTTTTTGCATTATATGATTTGTTTATTACATTTTATGTGGAGTGAATAAATAAAAGTATATTTATGGTGGCCCCTAGAGACAAAGCACGTACAAACTCCAAAACACATACAAACTCCGAAGCATCTACAAACTGCAATCGGATATTTACATGTAAACATATATAAATAACCACGTTTTTTTTTTTGTTTTTTTTTACATTAGTACAGTGAAACCCCGACTTACAAAATTAATTTGTTCCAGAGGGTCTTTCGTAAGTCAAAATTTTCGTAAGTCGAAGCACCTTTTTCCATCACCTTTTGAGTGAGGCGATGCTGGCTGAAGACGAAGTTCTTGGTGGAGGAGGAGGTGGCGGAGGTTGAAGAAAGCATGCGTATAAATGCATACATACGTATGTGCACATGTACATAACATTATGGAATTTAATTTATTTTTTAAAAATTTTTGCATTTTATCTACTTCATTACGCAGGCATTTTGCCGTACCACGGGCAGAAATATTGCTGTTAAGTGCCTTCGTAACTTGAATTTTTCGTTAAATGGGGTCTTCATAAGTTGGGGTTCCACTGTAATTCCTTTTGTGCATAACTTTATATTGTTCTTGATAATAAATTAAAGCAACAAAACAACCTGAAGAGTCGGTTGGGAGTCGAAAGACTCGACTCTTTTTAGTGAGACGAGCCGAAAGAGTCAGTTCTCTAAAAAGAGTCGGAATTCCCATCACTATCTCCCACTGCACTCACCGTTACTGTTCCTCGGCAACCGTGACGTCACACCTAGCGCCAATCGAAGAGCTCGCAAGACCGACGCATCTATCGCGAGGTTATCACATTAGCTTGGTTAGTTAGCTAGCTGCGGAAACCCTGAACGTGTGTCCGTTGTTTATGATTTTATTTTATTCTTCTAAAGCGCTGAGAGGGCTGAGCAGTGCTTATTGATTATTGATTCCTAACGCGTGCAGGAAAGCATAATCGCCGGACCTTGTGTTTGCACGGTAAGCCATGAAAACGCTCGCTGTCTGCTAACTGGTCAGGGCTGTTGCTCAGGAGGAAATGGGTTTGTTTTGAAAGCCTCGGAGAATTTTCCCGTTATGTTTTAGCAAGATTTTCAATCGTGTAAAACCAATTTAGGCATCAGAAATGTTGTGTTATTAATTTTACTTTTTAACCCGTTGCGTGTTTGATTTCTGTGCGTGTTCATTTTGTAATATTGGTCTTATTTGCACGGTTGTCCCGTCGATCTTCGTGTAGGTACAAACTGTGACCAAGCTGTGTCAGTCTTGCTCACGTTTACAGTATTTGTTTGTTTGTTTGTTTTTTTTTTTTTTTTAATACTTTTCAGGATCCAATGATGAGTTATGCCGAAAAGCCAGAGGACATCACAAAAGAAGAGTGGATGGACAAATTAAACAACGTTCACATACAGAGGGCGGATATGAATCGGCTCATTATGAATTACCTGGTGACAGGTGAGGCATAGATTGAAGATACAACCTGTAAGTTGAATTTACAAATTGTAAAGTCTTGTTTATCTCTTTGTGTCTGTCTGTGTTTGATTTAAGAGGGCTTCAAAGAGGCAGCAGAGAAGTTCCGGATGGAGTCTGGTATCGAGCCGAGTGTGGACCTGGATTCTTTGGATGAAAGGATAAAGATTAGAGAGATGATCCTGAAGGGCCAGATTCAGGAAGCTATTGCACTCATTAACAGCTTACACCCGGAGCTGCTCGACACCAATCGATACCTGTATTTTCATCTGCAGGTGCGTTTCCGAAAAGCTGTGCAGGGCTCTAATTTTAACGTTGGAAATAACAGTAAGACATCTGATGTAGGTCTGCTCTGCTTTGCAGTGCATTTTCTCTAATAACCTATCCTGCCATTGCCTGTGATGAGATTATGTTCTTTTTCTCCTCCCACAGGAAAAGGAAGTTATTGTGATATTAGATAAAGTTTGACAAGACAAAGCCTGAACGTCAACACTCACTGCTTCGTTTCCCCTCTTGCAGCAGCAACATTTGATTGAGTTAATCAGGCTAAGAGAAACTGAGTCAGCACTGGAGTTTGCTCAGACACAGCTGGCAGAGCAGGGGGAGGAGAGCCGAGAGTGTCTGACAGAGATGGAGCGAACGCTAGCCCTTTTGGCATTTGACAACCCAGAAGAGTCACCCTTTGGAGATCTGCTCAACATGATGCAGCGGCAAAAGGTGGGCAGGCTTTAGTCTGACTGTAAAGCTGGCCATCTATTTGACATTTATGTTGCATGTATCCAGTATTGTAGACTCTTGTGGATCTGAAATTGGAATAAGAGATCCAGCAGCCAGATGGTGATCATTTTATTTATATAGCACATTTCATCACTTGAAACTCATTGGGCTTAACACATAAATTAAAGAAATTTAATAACTGTAGGTTTACAATCCCTTAAGGCAATGAAACCAGCAAAACAGAACAAAACCATATGAAAGAAAAGAAAAATGCATATAAACTGTTAGCCTGTGTGAATAGAAAGGTTTTGAATCTATTTCTAAATGTACACACAGATATAATTGATCTCAAGTCAGCAGGCAGCTTCTATTAAAAAAACATGACTGCAGTAACTGAATGCACACTCAGTAGACTGAGATCTGATTCTGGGACCAGTTAAAAGATCTGAATCTGATGACCCGAGAGGTCTGACTGGGTTGGAGACACTGTCAGAGATGTACTGGGGGCCAAACCATTGAGAGCTTTGTGAACTAATAGAAGAATTTCAAAGGTGATTCTGTATTGTACTGGAAGCCAATGGAGGGTTTGTCCTGTCAGGATTCTGGCTGCTGCATTTTGGATAAGCTTAAGATGTCCTAGTGGTGATTTAGACAGGCCTGCAAATAGTGTTGCAATAATCTCACCTAGATGAATGCACGGTACATTTTCTCAGTGTTGGTTTGAGATGTGAAAATTCTAACCTTAGATGTATTTTTAAAGTGACAGAAGGCAATTCTGGTAACCTTAATGTTGTGGTTATCAAAACTGAGATCACTGTCCAAAATTATGCCACGGTTCCTGACTTGCTCACTGCGTTTCAGAGAAATGGATGAAAATATGAACAGTATTTTTTGGTCTCTGACTTTTTGGAACAACAAGCTTCCTGGCTCATTTCTTTTAAGTTCTAAAACGTTTTGAGACATCCAACAGTTAATACCATCACATTATTATTTTGTGAACAGAGGTTAGATAATCACAGCTGTGTTTCATCTGCATAAGAATGACAGGTTATATTATTATTCTTTATGACAGTACCAAGTGGGAGGTGGTAATAAACAAAAGATTGACTCTTGAGCAACTCCTCAAATACTTTGCTGAGAAATGAAACATAGAAATAGGTTATTATAATTATTAATTACCAGTGGATAGAAGTCATTTCTATGGTCATGGTGGGATTACAGTACATTTAAGCAATTAATAATATTTCCTAAATTATTTCTAAATGGTGAGACACAGATTTGAATAGTTTGATGGGGATGGGGTCAAGTAAAGAGGTGCAAGGCTTTAACTCTTAAATAACTTCTTCCAGATCTTTAGAATTTACAGGTGACAAAGTGGACATTGATCTTGTGGCAGCAATTTGATCAGAAAGTGAGTCCATCCTAGAGCAGGGCGATATGACCAAAAATATTTATCACGATATACATTTGAAAATTTGCGATAACGATATAACTGACTTTATAATTAACACTAGACAAAATACTTTACAACTCCACAACTTTATTAGTGCAAAAAAAACCCCAACCCATCAATGTATTTTCACTTAAACAAGCAGCTGTTTTTATGTGCATTAAAGTTATATAAAAATTTAACAGTGCAAATGCAAATTCCTTGCTGACAGTTTAACCAAAAGGCATTTCCAGTGGAAATTGGCCGACATATCCTCAGCATAACCATGTAGAATATCCACAAAACTTAAAAAGAGGTTATACACACACAATACAGTAATATTATGTTGAAGCACAGTACATATCACTCCGCGAGGCTCCAGCCTACAGTAGCCGTAATGCTCCGACAATCCGTCAAGCGGTGCAGGTTCATAGCTTAGCAAAGTCGTACTGAAACATTTGACAGATTTTCGAGCGCCGTGTACCACATAAAATCATTTCAAGGTCAGTAAACACAACCAGAATTCATACACAAGGCATACGGGATTATAAGGAGCACTGTCCATTTTCAGAAAACAAAGGATTGATTTTAAGTGTGCCGTATTTTCCAAAAAAACACGGTAATAACATTTTTGCTAGCATGCTTTAGCAAAAATAGTGCTTTGTTGTGTATCTGATGGACGAAAGCTAAGCCAGTTCCACACCACTGAAGTTGCAGCATTTTTACAAACCAATTCTGGTTCATCCGTTTCATTCAACGATCCGCTTTCGCTCTTCTCATTCTCCGTCGCCGCCATGCTTTTTCCGCCATGTGCGTATAAAAACAAAGGCACTGCGCATGCGCGTTTTACCCATATTCTATTGCGATATTTCATTTTCTTATTGTTGCCCAACATTATACCGGTATTACCGTGAACGGTATGATATGGCCCAGCCCTAGTCCATCCTAGATAAATTACTTTGAAAGGCTGAGATGTTACCTTTTCTTGTAGAAAGATGCAAATTCATCACATTTATTTGTTGAAACAAATTCAGTTGGTATGGTTTTGGGGATTAAATCGTTTATCAATGCATTAAAATGAAAAAGCAGAATTAGACTGGCTATTGTTGATCAGTTGGGATGTGAAGGGTTGTCTGGCTGATTTGGTTTCATTGGTGTAGCAGTAAAGGGCATTTTTATAGATTACAAAATTAATTTGTAATTTTATTTTGTCTGTATTTTCTCTCAGATCTCCTGGAGATTCTTTTTGCCATCTTTACCTTTTAGCTGTTTCTCCAGGGTGCTTTTGACCGGAGCAAGGCAGTCAATAATTTAAGAAACTGTATTTTAGAAGTTGTCCATTTCATCACATGATGACATTTTTGGTAATGCACACTTTAAGAAAGTCACTAATAAATGTGTCAGTCATCCTGGCAATGACATGATGCTTATTAATAAATCAGCTTGTATTTGTTTTGACAGATAAACAAACTTCTGAAAATAAGCTGTAATGATCATAAACAGCAACATCCAGGACATTTGTGATAAATGTTGTTTATATTTTTACTACTTTTTTCTTTGTCTTAAATTGTTTTCCCACGTCTTGGCATACAGGGAACAAAAAAAAATTCTAAATGGCAGATATAAAAAAAATTATTAACTTAAAAAATAGTCCTGACTTTCTTCAAAATATGGTTAGGGTTGCCAGGTATGCTGTCTCAGAGTGTTTTAATTCCTGTTTTGTGGAGTCATGTGAAGCTGAATATAAACATTAAGAGCGCAGTGAATGCCAGCAATAAAAATTTGTTTATTTCAATTTGACTATCGCACACATCTCGGTGCACAGGTGTGGAGTGAGGTGAACCAGGCTGTGCTGGACTATGAAAACAGGGAGTCGACACCCAAACTGGCCAAACTGCTGAAGTTGCTGCTGTGGGCTCAAAATGAGCTGGACCAGAAGAAGGTGAAATACCCCAAAATGACTGACCTTAGCACAGGCACCATCGAGGACCCCAAGTGAACACAACAGACAAGAACCACCACTTTCCACTTCCCCTTAATTTATGATCAGTCAGTGACTGTGTGACAACCAGGTAACATATATGTAAAAACAAATGCTACAGTGTTTCTTTTTTTTCATGTTTCATTCATGAGAGGTAAGACTTAACTCATTGTGCAAACTGTAAATTGCTGTATTTGCAAAGTGGCAGAAATTATTTAGTTTCAGTACAGAACCTGGATTTTTAGGTAGCTCTCAGAGACAACAAAATTTAAATTGCTGTTTTATATTTTGTCTTTTTAAGCTACGATGGTAGTATTATTTATCGTGAACATTTTCCCCACCAGACTTTACTTTGCCAGGAAAAGTTGATGGTGTGAATGAGCACTGTTGGTACTGTGCATAGAACGGGGAGGGAGGGGGGGATTGAGACTCTTGAGACTGGTGAAATGAGAAAAAGTGACTATTTTTCAAATAAATGGAAATCTACACTTTATCTAATTTTAACAATGTAATATTTATGATTTTATTTACTCTCATTTTCGTTTGCCTCTTTTTTTTGTCAGCTTTAAAATCAGCCACATGCTTTTACGCCGTGAAGTTTGATTGTACCTTGTGTCTATGGGATGCCTTGTAAATTCATTATTTAAGTGTTTGAGAAGGTGAAGGGAGTCCAAATGGAGTTGGTTTCTTACTGAGTTGAGGCCTTTTCTGATATCTACAGTGTGCACTGCCTCCAACATGCTCCAAATGGTTTTTCCTGCTGCACAGGTTTAACGTTCTGGTTAAGTTCAGCCAATCCTGCATGATGATCATGCAGGATTGAGAGAAAGGGCTCCTGTATCTGGATGATGGAGCTGTCAGTTATGGCTACTGTCTAGTTCAACCCCCTCGCGTATGAAATTAATTCAGACGGGAGCAGTTTCCTTTAGTCAGTGGCTTTGTTTTAGTAACTTAAAATGACCCAAAGCTGATACTTTTGGTCCCTAAACAGGTATTTTGAAGAGTGCTATCATTTTTCCACTTTTCAAAGCTATTGGTACTTTCACTTTACCTGCATGTAAGTGTCCCTTTTTTTTTTTTTTTCCCAAATGGGGGGGAAAGTACTTGTGCGTGTTTATTTTTGTTTGGTTTGTTTATTTTTATAAAAAGAAACAAACTTGCTGCTAGTTGTCCATCCTTAATTTCTTTTAAGGTTGTGTTGTCTTTATAGAAACTGGCTTTGACCCAGAAAGCTCACATCCCTTTTATTATTCCACATTTCTAAGCTCAGATTTGCAATTATTAAAATAAACTTTTGTGAACCATAAACTGGTTGTTTTGGCATTTTCTGAGTTTAGAGTGTACATGTATGTAAATTATAAAAAGATGCAATAATTAAAGTTAATTTAATCAGATAAAAGTTCATTGAAGATTTTAAATTACCTGGATTTTGATTTAAAATTCATATCGAAATTCATCTGCCCTTTATAGGGGAAACATGCAAATGTTGTATCCACTAAAACCACCAGACACCTCTGCTGTCTGCACTGCAAATCACAACCAGGTGCATTTGAGTTTTCTTCAAACAAGTTTGACCTGTTAGGCTCATCTGCCTGAGGCTATGAGGTTCAGCTAAATGACGCTTCTTTATTGCGGAAAGGCTGCAGAGATAACAGATACGGCAGCGTTCTCTGAATGGCTGACAAACACACATCAGGAGCCGACAAGAAGGACTCTAATGGTTCTTTATTGGATCCTAAGATTTGTGAGCCTGATGAATGTAAAGAAGAGGAGTCGGGAGACCGAAACCTATGGCCAAGGTGAGATGGCAAAAGATTTGACTAAGAAAACAGCTAATGACTAGATTGTAGTCTGTCAGGGTATTACTGAGAGCTCACTTGAAACATGTACTCATTTGATACACTAAATGGCTGTCTTAACTCACAATGCCTTTTTTTGTTTGTTTTTTATAAGAACAATGGCAACTGGATACTAAGTGACAAAAGAAATTACATGTGTACTGTAACTATTCACTAGAAATGTAAAGACCGATATGATACACAGTAGTAGTGAAAACAAAGGTACTGGTAGTTCTTTATCTTTTTTAGGTATGTTATTTAGTTTGGTGTGTTTTTACATGTTCATCTGGCTTTGTCCAGGCTCAAATGTCTCAGCAACTCCCAGATGAACTGAGATTACATTTTGCTAAAGACATCAGCTTAATTTTATCACCGACAAGTGAAATTTTTCACTTAGAAGTGGAGTTTCTCAGCATCTACCAACTAGATGTAGCACCAACAAATTGACATCAGTGTTTTTAAATATATTATTTAAACTTCTTGATTATTGCACAGACTGCTGTGAAGCCCTGTATAAAGAATTATGCTGCACCTGAGATGTAATGACTTTTGTCTTTGCTTTACTTGCAAAAATATTGAGATGTCCATGAGCCTCTGGAGTGTTTTGTGTTTAGTACTAATTAACAAATATTAGCACGTTAAAGCACTAAACCAACATTATCACACCAGCACGTCAAACACCATCTCTGTGAGGATATTTACTTGCCAGTATGAGCATTTGCATTTGTCCAAGTGCAGGTGCACACAGTGGCTATAGACTCTTTGTTTAGTGCTGCTGACATCACTAGACTGGTTTTCGCTCACCCAGTTTGCTGGAAGCAGTTTACTGCAAAATCTGACTATATAAGCAAGAGCTGTTTGCCTTACAGATCCCTGGCTCGAAAATGGATCGTGATGCTGTTTATGGGCACCTGCTTCCTCTATTGTGCGCGGATGGCCATGCCTGTCTGCGCTGTCTCAATGGCTGCTACGTTTCATTGGAGTAAAATTGATTCCGGGGTGGTTTTGGGTGGATTCTTCTGGGGTTACTGTCTCACACAGATCCTGGGAGGACACGCGAGTGACAGGTAAGGATGTGATGCGTTAAAGCACACATGACTTCGCTTAATGAGCAAATAACCTTCCAGGTCTGTTTACTGTGAAGTTAGATTTTGAGTTTCAGGATGTTGCTCTGTGAATGATTGTTGTTTATTAGAGTGGGAGGAGAGCGTGTCCTGTTCTTCTCTGCATCATCATGGGCTCTGATCACAGCTGGCACTCCTCTGCTGGCCCATCTTGGCTCTCACACCCTGGCTCTCATGACTGTGGCCAGGTTTCTCATGGGAATATCACAAGGTTAGTATTCTACCAGTGATTATGTTCTAGTAAGAATGTACAATTCATTTATACAGATCAAAATCCCAAAGCACTTTACATTAAAACACAAAAAATATACATAACGGTGCAAAGCAATACAATATAAAACAACACATTTATTAAAAACTTGTCTGTGCAAAAATGTCAATTCCAAAAACTGGCAGGTAATAAACCCGTGACGGGGGCCAAAGTGTGAAAAACGGTGTGGATCATTACTGTCACCGGATGAAACCTCGGTGAGACATTGTCCCACCCCACCATCCTGTGAGCTGTTGGGGTCACCAAGGTGCGAGTGGAAGAAACAATCTCAAGCATGGATTGTGGGTAGCCAAAACATAGTTGCCCCTGGTGATGATAATGACCCATGCCTTTTTTTCACGCACTGGCTCGTGTAAATCACATGATCAATAGTGGGTTAATGACCCAACCCTCAGGACCACCTCCAAAGGGGTCGGCTCCTACCAGGGATTTATTAAAGAAGCCTCTTTGGTGACAGAAGAAGTCCAGTTTGTCTTTTTCACACAGGCAACTGAATTAAACTAAACTAAAAAAGTGTAAATTTGCATGTGTACAGAGAAAAAATCGAGCCAGGGTTAAGAGTTTTACGCTGCTTTGCAGATAGTTAGGCTGAAAAGTCAGTGTCTTGATCTGTCTCCCCTTCTGTGGTGCACTGAAGAGTTGGACAGCCCAGCAGACAAAAGACTTCCTCGATCTCAAAGTAGTACAAGACAGCCACAGGAGTCTCTTACTGAGCAAGCTCATGACAGACAGCTGTCTATTTAGTTCTTTTTTTCAACCACTGATGCAAGGGCTTAAGCTGCATGCCATAACTGCAGAGCCCATTGTCCTAACCAGTCTTTCCTAGTCCCTCTTAATGCTTTCCAGCAAATCACTGCATTGAAGAGAATACTCACTGGAGATTACTGCAGTCCAAGCTTGTTGCCCATCTTCAGTCTCATGCTGAACATTGAATAAGACAAAAACACTCTGATGCCTGTTCAGTAAATACAAAGTAGTGAGAGAGACTGGAAACAGTCAGTTGGTGGACGGTGGATCTGATAACCCATAGCTGGTGATGTTATCATAACTTTGTAATCAATGGTAGTCCTGGGCCATCATGGGAAATGACCAATCATGTTACTGTGATGTCAAAAGTTTCCAACAAAAAAGAAGAAAAGCTTTCAGAAATGGGCACACTGCTACAGGTCACCTGGTTGAGCAGGCTACCTATGAGTCAAAAGTTAGTCATGCATCGTCGAGCTGAGTGTTTTTACCATCTTGGTGTTATGAACCCAAACTTGGTGAGCGAGCTGTGGCTCTAACAATAAAAGAGAAGACGTCGCATGTTAGAGTTCAGTGAGCATGCTCTGCAGAATCTTTTTTGACCATAATTAGCAAAACAGACCCAATCTTTTATCCTGTTTTGCCTAAATCCAGTGATCAAACCCATTAAGCAATCAAGAAAGTGTTTACCGAGGTCACAGCTTAATTCCACATTTATACTTCTGGTTTCCTCTGACACACAGAACTCAGTCCCATGGGTTAAAGCTCTTTGTGGTGGACAAAAGGATAAAACAATCGTATCTTTAAATATTATATTATAAAATGAGCCACACTTTAGTCTTGTTTTTCCAAGCTGCAACTATGAAATCACAACTCTGTGACTGGTCTGTTGAGATGAGCAGCATAAATAGTGTGATGAAAACAACTCCAAGTAGCGAAAAGCTGCAGCAATTAAGTTGTTTTATCCAGTTTGTTAGCTGCTCAAAACCAAAGTATAAAAATGGGAATTTGTGGTTTGTTTGTTCTCTTGACTGAGAGCAGTTGCTAGGCAACAAGCATAAATGTTAGGAAGTGAGTGTTCCCAGTCAGAAGTGCGAGCAGGCAGATTTTCAAACAGAATTTTTGACGTGTTGCTGGTTTCACTTTCAAAAAGTACAAAACATATCCAGCTGAGTGTTGTGCCATTTTAATGCCATTAACCTTCAAGTGTAGCCATGCCAACATACTGGTTTTGTCAGGCAGAGTAAAATCACACAAGTTCAACATGGTGTTTTTTCTTTTGCTTGCTTTGTTTTGTTTTTAGTAATTGCGTGGCTATGACCCGTTACAATGACAGATGCATGTTGAGCTTGCTCTAGTTTAAGGAAGCTGGTTCCTGGTACAGATTTCATGCTACCACTCGGGGAATGTGATTCATAATGTTTAGCATAAGTTTTCCTAAAGTAAGCGCAGCCATATCTGACCACAAGCTGAACTAGTCCTTCAAATAAAACCTTCAGTTCTCCAGGTTTATTAAACATATTGTAGATGGGGTAGCTCAGGCTCACAAGTTCCTCCCCCGAGTTCTGCAGGGTTCTGCAGGTGTCTTTTTTTGGCTAGCATACATGTATAATAGATCTGAAACGACAGCAGTCCTTTTTCTGACTGTAAATGTAGTGAACTTTTGTGTGCACAACTGTGGGTGCAACTTCACCATCTTCCAGTCCAAGAGGAAGAGGACAAAGTCTGGAGAGGTTAATACTCCCACACTTACACTACTTTATTGTTTGACTGACATGTTTTGGCTTGTGGCCCTCACCACTATAACACCAGAGTTTTTCTTCATTTCCTGTATGTTGATATGTGCCGCATGCTATCAACACTAATCCTGGATATAAAGGATCCTGACCACCCTATGCCAAACACCAGAATTCACCTCAGAGGGGAAACGCCCAGTGGTCATGTGCTTTTAATGTTGTAGCTGATTGGTGAATACTCTGTGAATTTAAAGTGTCTTGTAATTTCTCACAGGTGTTTTTTTCCCATCTTTGGCCAGCCTGTGCTCACAGCGTGTTGTGGAAGGGGAGAGAGGGTTTTTAATGAGCACATTGCAAAGCGGTACACATCTTGGGTATGTTTTACACACATAACAGCTGACATATGAATATACATTTATCTCTGATGGCATGCTTTTGTCTTGATCTCTGTTTCTCTTTCAGAACATTGTTAGCTGGTGGGTTGGGGACCCTGATGCTCGACCGCTATGGCTGGGAAAGCATGTTCTACAGTATTGGTTTCCTGTCCGGACTCTGGGCTCTCATTGTTTGGCAGTGTTTACTAAAAGGTACAGCAGTGAATCATGTATTCTTAAATAACAAAGAGGCTTAATATACTGTTTTTCTTTGACAGATAGTTCAAATTTTTTCATTTATTTATTTATAATTTTCAATCACTTTTTAAAGAAAACAAAAGCAGTTTTGGTGTCACAGTTCCATCCCAGATTTTATGTTGTACCTGGCTGGTTGAATGTATTCCCTGAAACGGCACTTGCCTCTGAAAGCTGCCCATCATCCACACAGAGTGGTTTGCTCCGGTTTCTTGGATGTACTTCAGGAAGTGTCTGAATCTCACCCTAGGTCTGTTAGCAAGTCTGTTCACTGAAAAACATTCCAATGAGTGATTACAAGTGGAAAATTAGAAAATAAAATCAAAGCTCATATTAAAAACAGAAGATTAGGAGTAGATTCAAAAACATCATGATAGGAATCAGTTGCCCAAATGCTAAAGTGGTGCATGGAGAAGCTGTTTGTGGCAGCTGCTCATTTCCTGAGTTCACTGGCATAAAAGTTTATGTATAAATTCATGTCTAATGACTTTAAGTGTAATGACTTTGGGACTTTTAATCTGGCGTCTCTATGATAGGGATCCTTTTTTTTGGATTGACATATATTTGTCTCCTGGTGATCCCTAGGAGATTTTTTTTAATCTAGAAGTTCCACAAACTGTCTGATTTGATATGTTTGATTTGATGGGCCTTTATGTTTATATGCACTTATGCAGATAAATAATACATCCCTGCAAGTTCCTTTATAAATGTAACCTTGTTTTTAAAGAGCTCGAGCTACTTTTCTTCAGTTCTTGTGTTTAAAAATACTTTAAAATCTTCCAAAATTACTGAAAGCTACAAACAGAATTTGAAGAAACGCCTGCTATGTCTTTGTCCCAAACATTTAAATATTGTGTTGAAGAGAGATATTAGGTGCAGTTGCACGTGAGGCCCCTCTGTGTCGGGTTTGCATGGACTCGCTGTGCCTGTGCTTCCTCTAACAGTCGACATTAATGTTAGGTTAACAGCTGAATCTAATTTGGCTGTAGCTGTGAAAGAAACCATGAATAGTTTTACGCCCCTCTGTGACAGTCCTGTAATAGACACACTACACTGCATTCATTCTTCTATTTATTATGGTGCGGAAGGTGATTGGCTGTAAGATTCCAGCCATTTCCTTAATAACACTGCTTCTTTTTGTCATAAAAATTTGCCTGATGAAGGTCTAGTAGTGAAACACTGAAAATAAATATTTCTGCAAGTTAGCCAGTTTATGGAAATCAGTCTTCAGCACTTGTTATGAAACACAGGTGCTGAAGACCGGTGTGTTTTAAAGCGTTTTTGCTAGTTTTATTTACTGATATATTTATATCTCTATCAATCTCAAATGTAATGGAAGATGGTAGTTTAAGCTCATGCTCAGTGTATGTTTTAGGTGAACTTACCCCAAAGGTGATGGAAACAAAGAAGAACTCAGAGTGGAGTCTGTCAAGAATACCCTGGCTGAGCCTTTTTAAGAAGCCGCCTGTCTGGTACAGCTTATAAAGTCTTTTATTTTTTCATAATTACCACCTCATATTTGTGCGAGTCTCCCAGCCTCACCGCATCTCTCTCCTCTGCTCTCTCTCTGGTCGCTATCTTCTTCTCTCTCTAAGGGCCATGGTGTTTGCTCACATGTGTATGTGCAGCACATCCTACACACTGTTATCATGGCTGCCAACATACTTCAAAGAATCATTTCCTCATGCCACGGTATTTCCACCATTACTGCTACTTAGCTAATAAGCATGGTGCACTGTTTCCTGGACCTACATGACAACCCTCTGAAGCTGTCTGTTCCTGCAGGGATGGGTCTATAATGTTGTTCCATGGCTAACTGCAATCCCATCAGCACTCGTTGGAGGATACGTTTCAGATTTCCTCATTAACCGAGGTATCAAAAAAAGGTCGCTCTTCTACTGTGATGTTTGTTATGTTGCAGTTAGAATATGTTTTATTAAAGATGTATGAAATGTTCTGGTTTGGTATCTGTAGGATATGGTGTAGCATCTGTGAGAAAGATAATGCAGGTAAGTGTGAGAGCATAGCTGTTGTTTGAACTGATAAAAGCGTGTGTGCGGTGAGAGATTTGTCCTGACTAGTTACTGAAGTGTTCTTTGGGAATTTATGCAGTCTGTTTTAAACATGTATTTACAAGCCTGGCAGCTTTCATAGAACTGTTTATATGCCAGTGCTCTAGATTACTGCTGCATTATCTGCTCTGTAAGTGTAAACTTGTGTAAAAACTACAAAAAAAATTCAAACGCTTGTTCTTTATGTGCACAGTTTTATTATTCTGACCATCTTGAAGTACAGCTATGAACATGTGCATTGCATTAAGTATTGACATAATCAAACCATTAGAAATTTGCTCACCCGGCTGTCACTTTTGTTCATCTTTAGCCTGTGGACTGTGCCTTTAAATACTCACCTGTATGTCTCTCTGTCTGATCCTCAGTTTTTTGCCATGGGAGTATCAAGTATGTTTATTTTACCTCTCTCTGGAGTTGTCACATTTCCTGCAGCTGTGATTTACATTTGTGCTGCTGTGGGTCTCACCACCTTCACCAGCGGGTAAAAATGTCCGATTTATACTAAATACTCAGACCAGCTACTAATAGGTTTCTCAGGCACTTTTTACATTTGATGACCTCATTCTCACATCAGATCCTGGCTTTCTCACCATCCTCATTCTCCTTGACCTCAGTGCTGCTTTTGACGCTAGATGAGAATAGGTTATAATATGGTCAGTAGACTCTGTGTGGAAAATGACTCCTGTTAATCCAAACCATCAACCAGGACTTATGTGCTGTGTTGAGAAAGAAAGGGGTGTGTTCTAGAAAGATTAGATAGTGGTCTCTTGGTTCATGCCCTGGTCACCTCATGCTTGGATTATTGTAACTTCTTATATGAATCTACGAGAGTATCAGAAGTAAACAAGTCACCATTACTGCAGTGGCTTCTTGCCAAAGAGTGGAGAGACATTTGTTAGAAAGAGTAAAAAATATTCAGAGAAAGTCATTTATTTTCAGTGCTAAAATTGGTTAAAAGATGAGTCATGACAACACTTTCTTCACACTCAACAGTTAACACAGCATATTTAATTGCCCTCAGTAGAAACACCTTTTAATACACAGCCCAAAGCCCATTACCAGCTTTAGACACTGAATCTTATGTGGGCCATGCTGTATATGCAGAGTGTCAGTAAAGAAAGAAAAAAAATAGATTTGTGGCTCTGTGAGTCAGCTGGGTTATAGGTCTTCGGCAAATGGTCCTGAAAATTCAAAATGTATTTCTGTTTTCAGTAGCAAGGCACATTTGGTGCAACAGCATGACAGTGACTCAAAATAAACTACAGTGCCCACATTTATTACCATGTGACTCAGAACAACACTGCATCTCGCTGGTGTCTTATTTAAAAATATTGGTGCTTGACAGCAAAGCTTTGTGACACACAAAAACCAGATAATGTACCAGGTTGTATTTGTTAGTTTTTTTTGTTTAGTTTCATGTTGGGTTTTAGTGCTTAGAATGAATTTGTAAAAGTTATGTCAAGAGAAGTCAATGAAAAGCCATAGTTAACCTATCAAAACACAGTATTTCATTGAAATAACACAAAAGACTCAAGTAAACCCCCCACAAATCTAATTTGTTCAGTAAGTTCAACTATAGATGATTGCTTAAAAACAATACTTGTGAGATTAGTTTTTATTTTTTAACATTAGTTCCCTCTAAGCAACAGATGTGGTAAATCCTATCATACTGGATAAGAAGCAAAAACCAAAAAATCACAATAGTTTGTTTTTAAACAGTAGCTGATGTGTTTGCTCCTGCTGTAAATCTTTGTTAAAATTCCTTCAAATTCGTCTGCTTCTTATTTTTCTGTTTTAGTGGTGTTTCTGTGAATGTACAGGATCTGACACCATCGTGTGCAGGCGCCCTGTTTGGTGAGTTTCTGTGGTTTTTAGGTTCTTCAAGCTGGCCCAGTGTCTGGCTTTTTCAATGTCTAATAAAATTTTCTTTCCTGCTTCAGGTTTTATGAATATGATGGGCTCTTTTGTGGGTATGTAGCCAAAGTCTGACCTTTACTGTAGAAGTGTACATTGCTGAGCACAGGGGGTGATATCTGATGGCTGATGTCTTTCTGTTTTGCACAGGGGTGGTGCTGGTGTCTTTATCAGGATACCTGATTGAAGTCACACAGTCATGGTCCATGGTCTTTGCCCTCATCACTTTAGTAAATGCCACGGGTCTCGGTGTCTTCCTCATCTTTGGAGGTGCTCGCCGTGTGGACCTAGTGGAGTATTCCAGGATTATTGAGATATGACCCAGAGTAATTTATGATAATTACGTTTTTCAGAACATGTTAGTCTTTATTTATTTATTTATTTATTTATTTATTTATTGATGAATCAGGTAATACACAATACATCGCACAAAAATGTTTATCTGTATGTATGTTTGGCCATGTTTAAAGTTCTACTTTTGGATAGTTGCAGTGCAGCCTTTGAATGGTGAGCACATGTCCTTAGTTATCGTGCAGTTTTCCCCCCCCCCCAATTTTGTGTGCATATGAGTCGAAAACTTTGTCTATTTGACAAAATAATTTTAGCCACTCTTACCAAATAATATATTATATTATATTATTAAGCAGCAGATTTAGTGTATTAGAAAGTAGAGCATCAAGAGGGTATAGAGGTCATAATTTGTCACAATAACCTGTCAGGTTATTTAAACTTTTCTGAGAGGCAGCTGGACTCCTGGGCTGCTTTCAGGGTTTAATAGAAAATGTAATATGTGATGGGAGACTTCGGCCAATCACAGATCTTTTCAGAACAGGTAACAAAAAAGTGTATATAAAAACAGGTAGAGTATGCATCAGGTGAAGGACTTTTACCTGGAAGATCAGGGTTCAGGATCAGGGTCTTGTCTAGTGGGAGGAGCTTATAGGAGGAGTTTCAGGTTATCTGTAATTCCTTTGTTTTGTTTTGTTTAAATGTTGCATACTTTAGTTTTAACCAGCACTGAAGACCTAATGTTAAACTTTAGCAGGATTAATAAAACAACTCTTTTATATGTATTTATAATGACATTATAAACATCTTTATTCAGGTGTTTTCAATGGTGCTGTAAAGTTTGGGTCGTAAAAGTGTTTTAAATGTTTATACTTGATCTGTGCAGTTGTTGATATTTAACATCTACAAAAAGGTGTTTTGTTTTGTGGGTGTTTTTCCTTTAGTTTCTATTTAAATTTGGTTTTATTTAAAACATAATAGTGGCTTTTTACTTTCACCATTGGTTTACAATATTAGGAATGTGTATTCAGCTGATTTTAATAATGTGTCATTTGGTTTGTAAAAATGTTGCAGTACTTTTTTGAAAGCATAGGCTTGTATATGGCTTGTATAGGAACTTTTAGTCTTGTAAAAAAAGTAACATAAAAACTACTTTTTTAATGTGTCAGGCTTAAATTGGGAAAAGTGCACTACAAAAGTCCACTTCTATCGTGAAGAAAAAAAATTATTTTTTTTGTTCCATAAATAAAAATATAAATTTAATAAATAAAGGGGCATACATGTCTTTTTATTTTATTCTTCCTGTTTAAAGGGAGTCTTTCCTTCTCACTGTTCCCAAGTGCTCATAGGGCGTCCTCTGATTGATGGTGCCTCTCTCAAATATCGTAAGGGCCACAACACATTAAGGCAGCAGTTGTATTGGTCCTCCCGCTTTAAAGTCAGCTCTCTTCTGATTGGCTGTCCCACACAAACATGAGTTCAAAACAGCAGGTGTGTGGAACATGTTTTCACATCTTGTGTCTGGGATAATTGCTCTCTGTGACATCATAGAAAGCCAGTAGAACAAAACCTGTCTGAAACAGAGTGTTTTTGGTTCAGAAAGTTACCTTAACATTCAATAGCAAAGTAAATTTACCTTTTTATGCTTAAATTTGAGCGGGCACTCTGGACTTCTGGAGGTCAGGAATTAATAAAGCATAACATTCAAGAACTAAAGTTATTTTTAATTGTTCATGAATGCATGTAAATAACTGTAATTTGGCAGCTTGATCATAACAGCTATGCACTTTATCATTTTCAGCTATAAATCAGCACTGTAAATCTGAAAATCCACGGATAACCACAATAAATATAACAATATAATATCATATAACTATTGTTTTTGTACCGACCATTGCAAAAATATAAAAATGATTTTGTTAATTACCAATACTGTTAATTTAAGGCAGCTGTGGCATAAACCTTACACTGGGTGGTGATCTAATACATTTAAGTACTGTATGTCAATAAAGAAGAAAGAAAATAAGGCAAAAGATCGTTGGTGACGCAAATATGAAAATCAATAATTCTTGTTGCTGATGAATGAGCTGCACATTATTCTGTTTCTTGTTTAGTGACGTATCTGTGAATGGATCTCACCCGGCGTGTTCAGGCGCCCTCTGCGGTGAGTTTATATATTTCAGCTTCATCGGAACTGGACCATTGTTGCGCTTTTTAATTTCTCTTCCATTTCAGGTTTCATAGATATGATGGACAGTTCTATCTGTCGGTCTGTATCCTGAAAGGGAATCAGACCCTTAAAAATGCACATTGTTGAGTCACTGATAGCCGTTGTTCCTCATGTGTTGCACAAATGCTGCGAAACGGCATATTTTATGTTTTCATTTTTGTAATTTATGCATTTTCGTTATTTATCACAGTCGTGACATTTTCCATTATTTGCATAATTAGAAAAGTTGCATTTGTCTATAGGATGTGTGAATGGTTGTCCTCAAGGAGCAGCTTCTTCTGTGATTTTAATGCGGTTACAGCGAAGAAAATACAACTTTATAAACTATTAGATTGAATATATTTAGGGGATGAAGCTGTATAGAGGCTCCTGTGCGGTTAACTGACTCCCAGCGGGTCCGCTTTCAGCACCCTGGTCAGCGCATGCGGATCTTTTCCTGCCCACAGAAATGAAAACATTGCAGTACCGCTCGGCATCGGGTCCATATATTTTATTAACACGCTCTGTAGACGCTTTAATGGGGTCAAACACTTTGCGTCTCATAGCGGATCCACGTCATGACGTTACTGCTTCAGCTGTGAACACCGGGATATGAAAGACGCACGCAAATCAGGACGGGGGCGGTTTTTGCTGTAGAGAAATGTGAAATATCCAGAAAACCGAAAATATCTGTCAGATACTTAAACCTCGGAGTCCGGGGGGCTGACGCAGGTTTTTATTTCCTCTGACTCAAAGCCTGGCTGAGCATCACCAGTGGGCTTGCCCGCCCGCCTCGGACTGTGGACGGCATTGTCTGGCCTGCTTCACCTCCACACATCCATCACTGAGAATAAAACAGGACAGGTGCTGTGTCACGGAATGAAGACGCGCCGGGGACGATGGACTGATAATTCACGGTCGCGCAGGAGGGAAAGAAGACGAAGGCGCGCATTGTGTGATGTGTTTTAATTTATGTTGATGGTTGGTGTGAAATTCAGGTCATATTTTCAAGACATGTAAACGGCGATGCAGAGTGATGGCGCTCAGGCCTGTCGGGTTATTTGTGTGTTTTTTCTGTCTGTGACGGTCAGAAGCTCCAACTTTCCTCGATAAGGGAGCCAGGGTTGCCGCTCCTCGTGTTCACGGCGGACCTTGATTTATTAGCCATACAATTAAGGCACGCGGTGAATGCCAAGAGAGGAATCAAACTCTGCACCATCCCCGCATCATTCACGGAGACGGAGGGCTGCTGAGACAGGAGGGAGCGCATCTGCTGCTCATCCCATCGCTTTTGATCAAAAATTAACCACGAGTAATAGAAAATCATTTAATCTCATTTTCTATCGGTTTAGAAGTATTTTTTTAAGAACCCGTAACCACAAAATACTCATATTCAGCCTGTCGCTGCTTTCCTATCAGTGAGGATGAATCAGTTCATTACTTTATGTCAATAAAGTCCTCATATGTGTGTTTAACTGTGTTCAGGAGGAAAATAAACACAAACAGCATGACGCAAACTGGTATGAGCTTTGTATTTATTATGTTAAAGAGTACAACAGCTTTATCACTTGATACCTTAACTGAAAACTAATTTTTTAAAAACAACCAAGCAGATAATGAAATAAATTTGAATCACATTGTCCACATTAAGAAAAGATTTTAATGTAATTATACTTCCAGTATTACTATTTACGGGTACTTTCCTTTTCTGAACTACAGCTTAAATAAAAACACAGATTTTTGTATTTCAGACCATTCATTTTAGAGCTTTTATCACATTATTTCTTTTATTACTTAACGAAATAAAACTCTACTAAGATGTTAGGCTGTAATACTATAGATGACGTTACCTATAGAATGTAAGTATTATGAGTATGAGTATTATGCAAAGATTATAATCCAGTAATCACACATATGATACAGTGATTTAGATTTTTGTATTCTACTCATATAGGATTTACAAGAGTGGTAATAGTTGCCTCAGTAGACCCTGAAATTTGTGACTATTTCCTGCATCTGTATTTTCATCTGATTAAATATTGATTTCTTCATGTTGTTGTTTTTGGGTCCTCTCGTTAAAAAAAAATCCTGGAAACACCTCTGCATTCCAGTGATCTTCATGGAGACATCAGATAACAAGCAGCTGATATACTGTAAATAATGTATTTGCTGATTCAAACATGAACTTGTAAAGATCGGAGGTGTGTCTGAAGGAGAAGCTGGGAGTCTTTAGCCAATAAAGCACACCCCATGCAGTCATCCTTTCTGGCTGTAATAATAACCAGACAAAATCACCTTTATGTTGTGTTAAGTAAAACTGGTGCCGGAGGCCATAAACTCGTTAGGAAAGTGTTTACTGAGGTCACAAGTTAAATTTATAATTTTGCTAGACTTTTATGTAACCGGACCTTTTCAAACTACAGATGCTGCCCCCTGCTGTTCATTAGAAAGATGGAAGGTTGAAAGTATTTCTGCTGTGGCTTCAGTTTTGTGACCTGAAAGCTACGCTCATCTTTTACATACAGTCTATGGTCCTAATGGTTATTGAACCATGCTTTTCTGATTTCCCACAGCACCACCTATGGTTCCTCTGTGCCTCTGTTCTGGTCAGTAAAGCCACTAAGCTCTTTTCCTCGCTACCTGAAATCATGGGCTGAGTTAAAAGCAGGGAGCTAAAACACCTTGTTTCAGAGGGTGAACTGAAGAGCTAATGCTCAATATAAGATAAGGACTATTTAAAACTGAATGACGCAAAGCTAGCATCGAATAAATAAATATTTGCAATTAATTATTTTAATCAACATTTTATAAAATGGAATTCCTCCAGAAAACAATCAATGCAACAAGCAAGTCTCTACACTTGGAAGCTTCTTCTTAACACTTTTTTTGTTTTTGCTATTCCTAAGTCAAAACTTCGAGTTAGTAAAAATATCAGAGAAAGTTGAGATGTCAAAAATATAGTCAAAAATTTTAAATAATATAAGAAGTTTTCACTTAACTGTGCCAGGAGAAAAAGTTTTTGTTTTGGTGGAAACAAGCATCCATACTATACTTTCTGTTCTCAAACTTGTCACATGTGCCTGTTTCAGCTGGAGGTCACTTCCTGTTAAAGAAGAGTTCTTTCTTCCTACCGTCACCATGATCAGTGACTGAGAACCTCAACTGGAGACGTGCCGTATCGATCTCTGAGACGTTCTAATTTTGTCCGCGAAGCTTTTGTGGCAACTTTTTTTATTTTTCAGAAACAAACTTCCTTGAATGGTCATAAAAACAGAAACACAAACAACAGATAAGTATGTCTTTAATAATGAATATGATCAAATCTAAGAATGTGATAGTGACCTCTGATACAATAGATATTTAATTCAAGGGTGACTTAAAACTTTTTTTTGCATAAATTTTCTATATTCCAATACCATTATATAATTCTGATTGCTCCACAGTCCCTCTCTTTTTCTTCCACTCGCACACACACACACCCACACACACACCCACATCCACACACAATACAGCAAGCAATTAAAAAAAGAAAATAACAAAAAAAAAGTCACAAACATATACCATATAGGCTAGTCTCTGCGTTTTCATACACTTGACAATAAATCAGTTAAGTATAATGCTACAGTTAAACATTTTGAGGCGATCTCAGTTAGAAATGCCAGTACATTAAAGCTTACATTTTCCGAGGATGAAGGTTATAGTGATGGAAATGATGAAAAGATTATTATAATGTTAAGAAAGAACAAATAAAACTAAACGACGGGCCTGGCTTGAGTTCTAAAAGCAGTGCATGCTACATTGCCCAGAATTTCATAAACAGAGAAAGGGGAAAGAAAGCAGATCCTGTGTTGATTTAAAAAAAAAAAAAAAAAAAAAAAAAAAATCAACTTAAACAGTATTATTTGAATTTCCATCGTTAAAGTGAGAGCAGGACCACCTTTACGAGCGTTTGATCTTCAGACTTATTTTCCCTGAATCTCTAGCTTGAAAAAATAAATAAATAAATTGAGGTACAGTACTGGAAATAAAAAATATTCCACACTACCGCTGCAAAGAAACGTT